CTACTTCTGCATGGTATTCAGAATAATTGTAGTAGACAAAGTTAACTCTGAGTGTAAACGGTAAACAATTAAATATGGGGAATGGGGGAGGCACTTTAAATTTTCATCTAAATTTAATTTGCAGTGACGTTGTATGAGTCTGTAATATTAGTAGTTGAGAAATTGCATCTGTATAGTAAATTATTTGAGTAGGGAGTAGGATAAAGGTACCAGTGAATAATAAGGATACGGGGATTCAGAAGGTTCGGTTACTGCAATACGTCAATTTTTTAAAGTCTTAAAAGGGTGTTTGTCACAGGAACCATAATTTACAGCTTAAAGCATAGATGCCTGAACGTTTTCCATAGAAATCTCAATTACCTCTCAAACTCTAAAATAATAGAAAGGTAGAAAACTATGTATCGATCTTTTCTTGCTGAAACAATCAAATTATTCGCTCGCCACTTTCAACCCTAAATACGCAAAAGTGATCGCCAATGGGATGACGTTCGTCCTCAAAGCGTTAACATTAAGTAAATCTTTACACTGAGAACCCTAAAAAACCTAGTGAAATGCAAATCCTTCTTTGAATTTCGCTTTAAATAATTTCCTCTCGGTTCCAAACCGAGGATCCCCAACGAGTTCCCGCACGCTTTCCAGCCACGGCTGTAAATCCAGTGATCGGCTGTCCCCCGCCGAGCAGTAAAACGAAGAAGCAGCCGATGCGCCCGGTCTCAATTTTATGGAACTTCGTCAACGTGGAGATTAAAAAAGAAGATCCCGGGAACAGGAAGCGGCTTTTACCACGGTGCCAGGCGTGAAAGTCAGAGATCTATCGCTCGTGTTCCCAGCGAATTCATAGTTCCTTCCGAGTGAAATATTTATGCTCCTCGGAACAGGAAGCAAAAGCCGGTCGGCTGGCTGCTGTGCCTAGGACATGAATTATGCCTTCCTTCGACCCATTTTCTTCACATTGTCGCGTGGGCCCGGCTGGCTCGGTGACCTTCGTCCGGCGAGCTTCGTGGATTTATGATTTACTGGCATATAAATCATCTCAGCCTGGCCAAGGCCGGGTCCTCCAACAAAAGTTCGTCGCCTTGCGCCACCCGGTGGCTGGGGCAGCACGTTGCGCAACCGGAGGCCGTCCGCTTTTGACCTGCCAGAAGTCGGCCGACTCCGGCCGAGGGACGAAGATTGTTGTCTCGTGGTTGAACCCCCTACTGCAACCACCTGCGTCACTCGACGCGTCACCAGGCGCGTGTCCGGGACGCCTTTTCCTATGACTTTCCAACCGAAAGAGTTTCGGTCGTGGGTCCCTTATCCCTCGCACCACTTAGAACGGGTTACTTTGTATCCACGATGTAGTATTGACTAGGGAAAATCTAGGATAGATGGCCCACTTCTTTTATAAGGCTGTTACGTCAGAAATGTCATCGACATCTAACAAAAAGGGACATATTTATGAGAACAAATAGGATAAGAAGAATGTATAGTTAAAGACGACTTGGTGCGATTAAAAACAATTGAAGATTTAGACATTTGGTAACTCGGGATCGGACCATTTTAACTTCAGAGGCATTTTATCTCGAATTACTGGATTAAACTTTTAACAGAGTTTGAGTATTTTGCAGAAGTCTTTTGCGTTTTAACATGTCGCCCGCGTCAATACTAAGATGCACATTCACTATCAGATTACATCTATCGTTGTTTGCTTTATATAGATAACGACAAAGGGGCAGTTTTACATTCTATACTTGTATTTTTCTTCTTTCTATCTACCGACTGTCCTTTGAATTTTAATTCCTTCGGATTTTTGTCTTGTTGGGAATGTTTTCATAATTTCAATTTGTTGATAGCATTGGTAGGTATTTATAATTCGAAGAAATGAAATAAACAATTAAAGAAGAAATACTGATTGTTGATAATGGTAACCGAACTGCAGATCGTACATCAGTGTTATGGATGTGGAGTTAATGGATGGGATGCGCGAATTCGTGTTAAATGTGACTAACGCTGATGTCGAAATGTACTATGTAATCTTGAAGAAAAGGTCGGAAAGTGATCACAAAGTCATACGAAGTACCAGGGTTTGCAGTCAATAACACGTAATTGAATTTAAACTTACTTTATGCCACGTGTGGATGATTCAGTGAAACTCGGATGATTTCGACACATTTAGCAGTTTCTCTATTTGAAGAATAGTACTGCCAAAAATTGCTACTTTCGGCAACGCAAAAATGGAATTTTCAGAAGTTAAAAAGTGCGAATATTCGATTTTATATTGTTCACGGTTTATTTGTTGAATTATCTGTATGTCGGAGAAAATTGGGAATTTTTTCAGTGAATTGCGAAAGTGCGGTTTCTTCAAGAGGTTTAGTCTCAAGAAAAGATAAGGAGAATTCTTAGTTCCGATGAGTCCTAGTTTCTTAGACTTTCTTTTAGCGGAGGTCCTGAGAAATCCTGCGTTTCAAAGAATCTTTATTTTTTGTCGGAATAACTTCACTGATCTACAGCTAAAGCGAGTTAAACTAATTAGGAGTATCTTCTTGAAACCCTTGTATTACAAAAAGAATAACGAAGTTCATACCAACATTCGTAGTATTGCGTTTTTAAGTATCTATGAATTATTGCATGTAAAACGCATTTGACAACTGAAAAGCGAAGGATGTCACCTAACTGAATTTATAAATATGAAATAAGATTAGAAATAATGTTTATTCAATGGTACCTACCTATTTGTCAATGGTAGGGCAGACTGAGGCGAATAGGATCAAAATAAGAATATTGGCCGTATTTGTTACGTTATTATAAAAACGAGCATGCTGATCGTCCATATTACATCATACACGTTCCCCACACCTAATTCTATACATCTTCGATTGTTTCAAACCGTTTTTTGTTGACAGCAAGTGTTAGAATCGAAGCAAACGCGTACGAACGTAACGGATTCGTTGCTAATCTAAAATCCGTAGTTGGAATTTCACATTTAAAATGGTAAAGTAAGCTTGTAAATTCAAATGTATTTATTACTATTGGTCCCCCAGGCATCTAAATTCAGTATTTAATGCACTTTAGATTATTGCATTGTATTCTGCTTATTTATCTAATTCACTTTGAAATCCTTAGAAACTCGGCTAATCTCATTTGAATATTTCTGTAATTATACATCACACACGACTCTTTTTAGTCGAAAGAAGAGAATCACTCGTAGCAAAGTTATCGACCCACCCAGGTCCCACATATACTAACACAACAAACAGTTGTTTAATTACGTAATGATAATCAGTCACGCAAGTACAGCCTTCAATTGCATAACAAATAGAGGAACAATGTAACCCAAATTGTGGTAGTTAATAATTACTCCTTCGCGAAACTCCGACCGATAAATCCCTTCATCGACAAACTTCGGATAAAAAAAGAGATGATAGAATCTTTTTACGAAGAAGAACAATGAAAATGAAAAGCCAAAAAGTCGTGCAGTCCTCTGTAAAAAGAAGAAAGAAGAAACACGCAAAAGCACATAGTCCCCTACATAAAAAAGAACAAGAAAAATCGTCCGGTTCTCCATAAGAAAAAATAAAAGGAAACAAGAAATCAAACCCTGCAAAAAAAGAAAAAGGAGAAGAAAGAAGCAGGAGCATACAATCCTCCGCAAAGAAGGAAAGAAAAAAGGAATAGAAAAAAAGTCTGCAAGTTGACCGGACTTCGCACTTTCGCGTCGCGGGACGCGACCTCGCGCGGGAAGAAGAAAATCGAAAGCGGAACGCAACGAGCCGTGTCACAGTCAGCGAAGCGGTGGGACGGTCGGACGGACGGACGG